AACAACAACAACAAGTCTATTAGAACAAAAGTTTCCAGCTAATATTAAGAGCATATGCTTTGGGGAAAGAAAATCATCTTAGAAATGATGGTCACAATTAAAGCTCCAGTGATTAAAATCTTCAAAATATTTCACACAGATATTTTTCAACAGTGTCCCACTGAGGAGGATTATTCTGCTACACTGAGACTTGCAGAAGGATGCTTTTAGGAAGGAAAGATTACTATGTAAGTAGTATCACTTGGGTAAACAGCATCACCAGATGCTTCCCCATCACTTCTGAATAGTTTTTGTAATCGTGGTCTTGACATAAAGTCTCTTAAGAGGGGAAGCAGAAATCCTCAGCTGGCCTATTATTACTTAATCGCCACAATGAAACTGCTGGTCAGTGGACAGAGTATCTGCTTAGCCTCACCTGCTCCCTTAATCTCCAGGCTATATTCAAATTCTTAGCACAAGCCTTGAATCTGAGATTCTTCCAACTGATTAGGTCAGTGTTAAAATTATGACAGTGGAGGGTTCAAGTCCAAATAACAGAAAGAGGTGAAGCAGAACAAGAGCCAGAACAAAACAATAAATTATGCACTTCAAGTACGAAATGGGCCTCAAAACTTTATAAGCGCTGGGAAACGAGAGGAACATGAAGGGATGAGGGCTCAAGCAAGAGAAGAGTCAACCCACAGAAGCAAGCACCTATTTTCCAGAAGTGATAGCTGTAAAGAGCGCTGTGCCCTGAGGATAGATGGGCTGCAGTAGCAGGAGGAAAGTTTATGCAGTGTAGAAGTCAAAGAAAAGGAATTCTGAGTATTCACAGAATAAATCACGAAGCTCTTCTTCTGTTTTCAGGTTTGTAACTACTTGATTTAACCAAGTAAACACTCAATCTTAGCAGCACCCTCTAAGACCGTTCTAACTGCTTTAGATGCAATTGTTGGTCTAGGCTCTTCCTCCAGGTTTGTGGATGCAGAGATATCTCTATTTCCCTGACATTGAAAATATTGTAAAGATAAATCTTTTTTTTTTTTTTTTAAATAAAGGAAAACAGTCACTTTCCAAACTAAATTTAGGATGGCTTCCAGATCAGGGACTGGACAGAAACAAGGTGACTTCAAACCCCCTATAAGAGAAGAGTCCCAGTGTAGCACACTACAGGATAAACACTGAACTGCTAACTACAAGGTTGGTAATTCAAACCTGTCAGCCGCTCTTTGGAAACCATATACGGGGCCGCTGTGAGTCAGAATCGACTTGATTACATTTAACAATGTAAGAGAAAAGAGAACAGAATGAATAAGGAATTTCAATACATTTTTGAAAGTGGAAAACAGGGTCTTTATCATCACACCAATTATTCTGCCTCAGTACGCTTTTGGTGACAAAAGCATAAGGAATGTTTGATGCACTGATGTGTTCAAAATATATTTGCAGTTCAGATGAACTCAAGTAGTGAAACATCACTTACCCTAGGAAAGCAGTCTTTGTGGGGGCAGAATAAGAACTGTGGTAAAAGGAATTTCAGGGATACAACAATATAACCAACATTTATTTATCAAAGTTTTCTGGCTGAAATGGGCAATCAGAATTCCTGGACACCACTTAGAGCTTCCTTGTTAAATGCTATCGAGTCGGTTCTGACTCATAGAGACCCTGTACAGGGCTTTCAAGGAGCTGCTTTAGGACTCATTATTTTTAAACTATCTATCCTTACATTTGGAGTCCTGGTATGACACTGTGGGTTAATGTGCTAGACTACAAGGATGTTTTGAAATGCAAGGTCATGGTTCAAGCTCACCATCCACTCCTCAGAAACTCTACACAGGGTTGCTATGAGTTGTTACAGATTCGACAGCACTTAAGAACAACAATCCTTACGTTAAAATATGTATCATTTGCCTAGTCTTCTCCATAAGCAATTTGCAAGGAGTGGAAATGTTAGCAAAGGAAGTATTTCTTTGTAGTAACAGCTATTACTCTTAATGTTATTTCTTTCTGGGTCTGGTCTTTTATTTATTTTTCAGAAACATCACTGAATTGTGTAAGGTGCTTGTGACTCTGTCAACTAGAAACAGAATTAAGTATATGAAGTTAAAAGAAACTTTTGGAGAGAAGGTACTTCCAAGTGTATCTTATTGACTACTTCAATATGACAAGTGGGGTGAATAATAAGAAAGTTTACTATGTGTCAAACATTGTTCTAGCACTTGTGACACATTATCTTAATATGCATAAAAAACATGGTTTGAGAGCCATCCCCATTTTAGAGATGAGTAAATTGAGAATTAAAATCTATGAGTCGGATCCGACTCGACGGCACTTAACAACAACAACAACAATTGGCCTAAAGTTACACGTGCATGGTAGAGATAAAGATTTATATACAGATCTGTCTGCCTCCAAAGTCCTGGCCATTTCCTCTAGCTGTTTGTCTATCTAGCTTATAAGAGCATATCGAAAAATATCATATACTTAGTGTAACCAAAATACAACAGTAATAGGTTAAAGACTGTGAGGGTTTAAAATAAAATTCCACTGGCTTTGAGACAAAGAAGAAATTTAGGAATAAAATGGCAGAGGTTTATATATTTAGACAGATGCCAAAAAAAATACCTTTGCCAGAGAAAAACTCTTGAGCATCTCTGCTCTGTATCATCTGTTATTAGAAGGCTGTCCACTTCTACTGCATTTCGTCTTCCTTCTTTCCAAACTATATAACTCTACTCAGATTTCTAATCAGGCATGGGTATTAATTTTTGTGGGCTAAGGTTCAAAACTTAACAACAACAACAACAAGGTTCAAAACTACAGAGAATTTACTTCAGAAGTATGTAATGAGTGTTTAATCAACCACAGCAATCCCTCCGGACTCAAAATTGATTCCTTCACTATGACTAGACTACCTGGTTTACCTTTTGAATGTGCATTTACTTGATGGTTTCAAAGACTTTTCCAGAATCTTTCCCAAGTTCTTTTCCTGACTAAATATATATGAGAGTTTCAATTAGCACATTTCTAAGTCTACTTTCTAATTATTTTCTCATGTGTTTGCATGAAGTTGCCTCTATTCCTTCAGTTCATACTTATCAAAATGTTCTTTGATGGTTTCATCTCATCCACATACTTGGAAATCTTCCTTTCAGTAGCCTTGGTCAAAGCACTTTGATAAATGATATGAAATGAGTATATAGCAGTTGTCCCTCTGGGATGCTTGCAATGTCTTATACCTACCCGTTCCAAAGAACTATTAAAATTCATACCTCAGAAGGGCACTGTACCTTGTTTATTGTTACTACTCCTAGTGATCCAGTATAGGGTTTCCGAGGAGCAGCTGTGGATTTGAACCACTGGCCTTCAGTGTTAGCAGTCCAGTGCCTATAGTGTCACACCAGGACTCCTCTTATAAGATGTGCAGCTATAATCCTCAACACATAAAGATTACTGGAGCAGAAAGCCTCATCTTTCTCCTGTGGAACTGGTAGTTTTGAGCTGCTGACCTTGAGATTAGCAGCCCGACTCATAACCACTATGTACCAGAGTTCCTTAGAAGCATGACTGGTAGGCTCTAAATTCATAGAGGAATCAAAGATGATACGGATACCTCGATCATAGACAGATTTGACTTCCTTGTATTATTTCTTACCGCTGTCCTTTTGCATTATTGTCAACTGTACACAGGATCTGTTTTTTCACTCACTTGTTCAATTAAGCTATTATTTTTTGTTGGGAGTTTCAGTTCCCATTTTTAGCTCTTCTTACAGTAATTTTCTGGTGAAAGTCTAACACATTTTTGTCCTTCAACAGCACAGCAAGCTCCTTTTTTGCATCCATTATTATTTTTTAATCTCTTTAACATCAATTTGTTTGTATCTGACTATAAAACTTTATGTGGTGTGGATCTCTTTAGATTAGATTTTCCTCTCTAATTTAAATTTCTTTATATCCAACATGCAATGAATTTACGGATAATTGATTATAGCAGCTCAAGCTTTGCACCACTGCTTCTCCAAGAAGGTTTTTCAAGGTAGAGTCAACTGGTTTGTTAGTTCAACTTATCTCTCTTTCTCTTTGTAAACACTTTTCCTTTACCCGATTTGGGAAGTGATCTTGGTTCTTAGAACACAGGACTTGATATTCTTATCCTGTTTGTGTATCTTACAACAGTGCCCACAGCCTTAAGCTGGGAGATTCTTTTAGTTTCACTTATGCGATGCAGAGCGCCACCTAGCACCCTTAATGCCAACAATATTACCCTTCTTAAAAATCCACATGGAAGTAGTTAAAAACAAACAAACAAAACTTTACTTTTATCCTAAGAAAATGCACAAACCAAACCACTGCCATCCAGTTGATTCTAACTCACAGAGACCTTTTAGTGCAGAATAGAAGTGCTTCACAGAGTTTCTAAGGTTGTCAAGCTTTATGGGTGCAGAATGCCACATTTTTTACTCATGGAGCAGCTGGCAGACTGGAATTGCCAGTGCAGCACTTAACCACCACACCAAGGCTTCTTTTTAAAGAAAAGATCTTAGGTAACACTGAATCCTTATTCTATTTTTCTTTGTATTAATTTGGAAAATTAACCAAAAGATCATGGTCTGGTCACATAGAAATAGGGGCTGTCTCTCAATGCTGGCATTATCATTCTCATTATGACCAAACATATAAGCTACCTTTTTTAGTTCCTTGAGCATCAAACAAAGAATTAATCCCAAAGCCAAAAATTAACAGTATTGCACACCTTCATCTTCACTGCTATCAGACTCAGGAAGCTTGATGCGTCTCCTCTTTTTCTTCATGTTTTCTGGTTCTTTTGTCTCATCATCAGAGACCTCCACTCGCTTCCCTCTGTTGCCACCCAGGAATAAATTGAACACGTTACACAGAATAAAAATGTAAGTATTCATATGCTACAATTAGTCTTGCTTTGTAACTCACAGTCTTTATATTGAAGAGTAGAAAAGAGTCAAAGTAAACCAAGAAGGAATTTTACTTTTTAAAGAACTCACTGCTCACTGACCACAACTGTCACTCCATGGTCATGGAGAATTTTTCCAAATTCCTTCTTACTTCACCTACTGGCTTTTCAATTATTCACTCAGCAAGCATTAAATAAGCAACTACTTCCTATATATAAAGGAGTCCTAGTGGCATATCAGTTACTAAGCACTCTTAGCTGTTAAGCTGAAAGTTGGTAGTTGAAACCCACCCAGTAGCTGTGCAGGAGATAAGACCTGGCAATCTGCTCCTACAGAGATTATAGCCTTGAAAACCCTCCAGGGAAGTTGTACTCTGTCACAGGATGTCGTTAGGAATCAAAATCCACTTGATGGCACCTAAACCCAGCAACCCACATACAAGGCCCTTTACTAACATGGAGACTGCAAAGATCAAAACCAGATACCAGAGTATTGTTCTCAAGAAGCTCAGAATCTGATGGGAAAAACAAATCTAAGCACAAATGACTATATTAGACTTCAAAAAGTTCATGGAAAAATTGGATTAGAAGAGGATAGAATTTTTCCATGAACTTTTTGAAGACCTCTTATACAGTATGATAAATTTTACTGGACAAATAAATAAAATGCTATGGGCATAACTCTTACTTGAAAACTTTAAAAGTTAAGTTGAAGTCCATTAGGCAGAAAGGAGAGAAAAACATTGTAAAGACAAAGCTATGAGCAAAGGCAGAGATACAAGACCTTAAGAGAATTCTAATGATAATATAAAACCTAGCCTCATCACACTACTCACCCACTCAACACATAATTTATCAACAGCCGATCAAGTATTATTATTGTTGTTAAGTGCCACTGAGTTGGCTTGACTCTTAGTGACCCTACATAGGGTTTCTGAGGAGTGCCTGCTGTTTCTGAACTGCTGACGTTGACGTTAGTCGTTCAGTGCTTATCCTACTGTGCCACACCAGAACTCCTTTACCAAGTATTAAAGAAACAAATTGACATAAAATAGTCTTTGTCTTCGGGTACCTTATTTTTATATACGTTTAAACATCAACTTTTTTCTTACCTTAAGCTAAACGAAGAACAAATTAAACCCAAAGTAGAAATAAATAATAAAGACAAAAAATCCAGAAAATAGAGAAAATTAACAAAGCTAAAAGTTCTTTTTAAAGATTAATAAAATTGATTAACTTTTAAAAGACGGATTTTTAAAAAGTGATGGTATAAATTACCAATATCAGAATTAAAGAATAAAAGAGAATCTGAAGAGGTAACTTCAGAAATGGATCAAAATGTTTTAAAAAAACACAACTTACTAAAATGAACCCAAGAGCTAGAATATCTAAACAGCTCTCTATTAATTGATTCATAATAAAAATCACCCTAAAAAGAAAATTCCAGGCCTACGGTCACTGGTGAATTTTATAAAACATTTAAGGAAAAAAACCCCAATATATTTGATAGAGCTTCAAAAAAGTCCATTTATTTTTAATTTTACTATTCCAAAAACTTTCTGAAGCCCCCTTGTATATCATGACCAAGTGGTTTATCCCAAGAATGCAAGGTTGAAAACAATTAAAAATCAGTGTAATTCACCACGTTAATAGACACTTTATGATCATCTGAGTAGATGCAAAAAAAAAAAGCATTTGTTAAAATCAAACACCCATTCATCATAAAAATCTCCAACTAGAAAGAGAAACAAATTTCCTCGATCTGCAAAAAGGCAGTTGCTAAAAGCTTAAGATTAACATCACACTGAGAGTGAGATACTGAAATGAATGCTGGCAACACCTTCCACCACGTGTGGTGTGCCCATGGCTGGAGTGGGGTCATGTTGACCCACCCACACACACTGCTCACTGGACAGTGCCTTCACTATCTGAAAGTTCAGCATCTGGTTGATGTTTTCTGCCCCAACTTCCCCACAAAAGTCAAGTCTTTCTGGGCCTATCAGTGCTGACAGCGTCCTTTAGAATTTCTTTCAACAGACTAATTCCTACTGACTATGAGGTAGTGTCTCAAATTCCTGGATCCATTTTTAACAGCTTGTGTACTTTTTATTTTCTTTTCTAATTACATTTTACCACTTGAAAAATAAACTCATTGATATAAAAAGAAAACAAAGAACTTTTTCTCTTAAATTTGACTGGATACAGTAACTCTCTCACTTGACAATTTGAAATGAAACACACATATACATACACAACCAGGCATACTTGTATGGCCATGTCCACAGATTTAAAATGAAGTAAGGGAGAAAAGAAAATAAATTCAGGTCAATGGGGCTAAAACCCCCTGACTTTGGGCCCCAAGTTCCAAACTGGTTGCACAGTCCTACTTTCACAGGGTGAGCTCCTTTCTTTGTTTTGGTTGTACCCTGAAGGCATGAAGTAGGATTTAGTAGTCAAAATGAAAATTGCCTGCTGTCAATAAGTCCAGACAGGCCTTCTCACTCCTCCCAGCAGACACTCTTTCCCCACAAGCTGCAGAATTTTCCTACCTTTTTTTTTCCTTCTGCTGCATCTTAACAGGCTCTGCTTTTTGGCTGGATTTCTTCAGGCCTGTAGGGGCTGCCAGCTTTGGTTCAGTGACAGACACTGGAGGTTGCTCCATTATTTTTTCTTCTTTCACTGTTTGCTCTGAATCCGAATTGACTTTAAGTTTATCTACGAAAAAAGTATGTTGTTGTTGAGCGCCATCAAGTCCATTCTGAGTCATAGTGAACCTGTACAGGGTTTCTGAGGCTTGAAATCTGTGCAAGAGCAGAAAGCCTCACCTTTCTCCCATAAGTATGTAACGCCACCGTGCAGTATTAACTAGGCCATCAATCTCTAGACGGCCTTCCATGTGCCAGGTAGTATGCTAGGAGATGAGACAGTCAGCTCTCATCAACAGTTTCAGCCTTGGAAACCGTGTATTGGGTCCCTAGGAGTCAGAAGTGACTCGATGGCAGTGAGATTGGTGAGTTATATAGTATGTTAGGAACTAGAAGGATTAAAAGCAGTCCCTGTCCAAATGGAGCTCAGTCTATTCAGAAAACACTTCTCCTTCCCAACTACCACTTTAGCTGTAACAGTTTGCATTTCCACCTCCTGTTAATCCTTCATTATAGCAGTCCCCAGGCAAATGATAGTAAAAACTGGGCTTAGGAAAAAATGCATAGAACAGCTTTATGGAGTATCACCCTTCTCATTTTTCACATGATGAAACTAAGTATTATTAACAAGGACTAAGAGATTTTCCCCAGGAATATCTAACTTACAAATGGTGGTAAGAGAACTGCATCAGCAACACCAGAGATGGAGGCAGAGATGATAATATGGAGAGAGGGAGCAGCTGAGGACTCTAGATTCATGGAAAGAGAAAGACTGAGTGCTGGCAGCTAGGAGGTAGGCTTGCAGAATGTGCCCTTTGGTTGTTTAAATGATTATATATTTCTGAGTGTTTTTGTATACATGTCCCCACCCTGTCCCACCCCCTAAAAAACAACAACCAAAAAACAGAGGAAATGGAAGCAAATACACGGAGGAGACTGTAATCATTGCAATGAAATGGTGTAAAGCCGACGTTCTCCCATGTAAACTATCACTCAGTTCACAATAAAACTTAAAAAAAGAATGAAGATATTTGCAATAAGTCATTGATATTACAAAAGCAAAAAACAAATTGTAGCTGTTAGCTACTCAGTGGGAACTTAAAAACTTATAAATAAAAATCATGAAGATTCATGACTAAAAAATAAAAAAGAGAGAAGCTGCACCAGCCTTAAGTCTATATGCTGCATTCTACCTTCATGTATCAAGATACTCTTATTAAAGACTTCTGTAAGAAAAGGCTGGCTCATGCCTCACTTCACTCTGGGCAAATCAGATACAGAGAAGACTGACTTTTAGATAAATTAATCTGTCTAACATAAAGGAGGGCACATGCCAAACTTTTCTTATCAAACTCTTTCAATTATATCATTAAGGTAATAAGAGTTACCTAAAAGTCAGTCTTCTCTCTAATTACTAGGGTAATATTTATAAGACTATTATAAGGATTAAGGAGGTGAAATGACTTTGTGGCACTGTGGGTTAATGAGCTAGACTGCAAAGTCAGTTTGAATTGCAAGGTCAGTGGTTCAAGTTCACCAGCCGTTCCTTAGAAACCCTATACAGGGTCACTATGGGTTGGAACCAACTCGACAGCATTTAACAATGACAACAACAAAGGTAACAAAGACAGAAAAAGTAAGGATTTGAACTTAAATCCATCTAACTCCTACACAGGGTTGCTATGAGTAGGAGCCGCCTCCACAGCACAAAACCAGCAGCTTAGTATAATAAAAAATAAAAATTTGAAGGGGTAAATAATGAATGAAAGTGTTAACAAGAAATGTGGTTACTTCATTTTTTGAAGACTTTCACTTGAATGTGAAATTGAAATGGTAGACTGAAATTTCTTATTTCAGTGGTGCACACCATATCCTATTCTCATGATGGCATACCATATCCTATTCTCAGGATGCTGCTCTCAAATTTCAATGCTTCTCAAGCTTCTCTACCCAAATATTCCAAATCGCATGAGTCTATCAATATAACCTTAAGCAGACAACTCAAAAAATAGCTCTGTGAAGTCTTACATCCATTTTTTAAATTTATGCACCTTTTTTTTTTTTAAACATAATTTATGTTGTCTTAATGGCACTTGTTTTCAGAGCCCTGGTGTGGTGCTGTGGGTTAATGCGCTGGACTGCAAGGTCAGTATGAACTGCAAGTCAGTGGTTCCAGCTCACCGGCCACTTCTCAAAAACCCTATACAGGGTTCTCTATGAGTCGGAACTGACTTGATGACACTTAACAACAACAAATATCATTAGCAGGAGAAGAAACCTCCAAATATTTTCTCCCTACCACATGGGTTGCCCTGGTTAATGCGCTGGACTGCAAAGTAGTCTTGAACTGCAAGGATGGCAGTTCGAGCTCACCACTCACTCCTTGGAAACCCTATTATACAGGGTCACTATGACTTGGAACCAACTCGACAGCACTTCACCACCACCACATGGGTTAAGTAAAGACAAGTTATCGCACTGAAGCCATCAATTTCCAAAAACTGATCTGAATTAAAACACCAATCCTGGTGTGACACTGTAGGATAAGCACTGGACTGCTAACCACAAGGTTGGTGGTTCAAACCTACCAGCTGCTCCTCAAAACTCAATGCAGGGTCTCTATGAGTTGGAACCAACTCAAAGGTGCTTAACCACAGCAAAACATTAGATTCAGCAGCCAGACTTTCTACTCTCCATCTTGGTTTCACAGTACTTTGGGAATTCTAAGGAGCCCTACTGATTCCTGGAGATGCAGTGGTTAAGCACTCAGCTGCTAATGGAAACGCTGATGATTCAAACCTACCAGGTGCTCCATGGGAGAAAGAATGGCAGTCTGCTTCCATAAAAATGATAGCCTAAAAATGACAGTTCGACTATAGGGCAGTTTGACTATGTCCTTTAGGGTCACAGAGAATTTAAAACTGACTTCATGGCCAAGGGTTTCTGGCAGGGAACCCTGGGGATAAAGGTAAAATGCTCAGCTGCTAACTAAAAGGATGATGGCTTACACTGAACCCACACAAGAACTCCATGGGGTGAAAACCTGGTGATCTGCTCCCTCCGTTGTTGTTATTAAGTGCCGTTGAGTCAATTCCGACCCACAGCGACCCTGTATAGGGTTTCCAAGGAGCAGCTGGTGAGCTTGGAGTTCAAACGACTTTGCAGTCTGACGTATTGCCACTCCAGGACTCCAACTCCACTGCCATCAAGTCGATTCTGACTCATAGCAACCCTGTATAGGGTTTTGAACTGTGAATCTTAACAGGAGCAGAAAGTCTCATCTTTCTCCTACAGAGCAGCTGGTGAGTTTGAACTACTGGCCTTGGTTAGCAGTCCAACGTTTATCCTACAGCACTACCAGGACTCCCCTATAAAGACTACAGCCTAGAAAACCCTCCGAGGTCGTTCTACTCTGTCAAGTGGGGTTATTTTGAGTCAACATAAACTAGATGTTACCAACAATCTATACGTGTGCAGCTACAACTGGCCAATTAGCTTGTAAATAGGTAGTTCCATGAAACATTTTCAGAAAACTGTTAAGGATAATCTGGTCACATTTTCTTGTTATCAGGTCACTTTTATTGTCTGACTCATTAAGAGTATCTCCTTTCAGAGCTCACAGACTGAGAAAAAATGTTCTGCAACAATGTATCAGACAAGGAATTAAAGCTTTAAAATCTATAGGAAACTACAACACTTCTACATGAAAAAGACAAATAAACCAATTAAAAAATGGGCACAGGACATGAACAGATATTTCACCAAGGAAGATATTCAGGCAGCCAACAAACACATAAAGAACTGTTCACGATCATTAGTTGTCGTTGTTGTGAAGTGCCGTCAAGTCAGTTCCGATTGATAGTGATCCTATATAGGGTTTCTGAGGAGCAGGTAGTGAGCTTGAACCACCAACCCTGCAGTTCAAACAACTTTGCCATCTGGCACATTAACCCACAGCGTCACACCAGGACTCTTAAAACTTATGTGAACGTTCATTCACAGACAGCCCTTCTGGTGGTTTCAAACTACTAACCTTGGAATTACAGTCTGACTCGTAACTACTACACTATCAGAGCTTCTCCACTAGCCATTGTTGTTGTTGTTGTTAAGTACCATGGCGTCCATTCTGACTCATAGCAACCCTGTACAGGGTTTCCGAGGCTGTAAATCTTTACGGGAACAGAAAGCCTCATCTTTCTCCCATGGACCAGCTGATAGTTTCAAACTGCCAACCATGAGGTCAGCAGCCCCATTTGTAATCACTATGCTACCAGAGCTCCTTAGAGAGATGTAAATCAAAACAACAATGAAATAACATCTCACACCAGCAATAACAGCAAAGTTCAAAAAAGCAAGACAACAAATGCTGGCAAGGGTGTGGAGAGGCTGGGACCCTCCTACATAGCTGGTGGGACTGTAAAATGGTTCAACCACTCTGGAAAACTGTATGGCGTTTCCTCAGAAAGTTGGAAATAGAAATACCTTATAATTCAGCAATTCCTCTAGTTGGTACATACCCACAAGAAATATGAATCAGGACACGAGTAGACATATGCACACCAATGTTTATCACAGCACTATTCACAATAGCAAACAGATGGAGACAGCTTAAGTGCCTATCAATGGAAGAATGGATAAACAAACTTTGGTACATCTACACAATGGAATACTATGCTACCTTGAAGAATAATGAGGAAGCTGCAAAACACATCATAAAATGGATGAACCTTGAGGACATTTGTTGCTGTTCTTTAGTGCCGTAGAGTTAGTTCCAAACCATAGTGACCCTGTATAGGGTTTCTGAGGAGCAGCTGGTGAGCTTGAACTGCTGAACTTGTGGTTCAAACCAACTTCATAGTCCAGCGCATTAACCCAATCTCCACACCAGGACTCCTTAGGACATTATGCTGAGTAAGTGTAGTCAGGAACAAAAGGACAAATAATGCATAAAACTATTATTGTGAAAACTTAAGAAAAAAATTTCCAAACAAAAAGAAAAATTCTTTGATGTTTACCAGGGGTGGAAGGGAGGGGACAAACATCACAGGTTAGAGTATAGACACATGATAGCTCAGGTTGTGGGGAAAGCAATTTTCAAGGATGGGGAGGGGGGTAAGTGAACAAGGAAGATAGGGAAGACTGAGGGAGGTATGCATAGGCTAAATGGTATAAAGGTATATAGTGATGGACACTCAACCTTGCAACAATGGGGCTGTGATACAGGGATTGAGACAGAGTCTAAATGGGTGAAGGAGGGGAAATAATGTTAAGGTGGTTGACTGTCTTGTGGATACTGGATTCCCCACTTAGTAAAACAGAAATTATACTGTACATCTAAAGTAGGAAAATGACATTTAAGTGGGATAGAAAGGAACATTGGGGAATATGATTACAGAAAGCTTGTAAGCCTGTCTTCAGCCTATAACTGATTGGATTAGATAAAAGGGGTACCAGAATTTGCCCAGGTAAATAAGCTTCCTGTTAAGCCTTTGTGAATTAAGGGGCCTTAGGTGGAATCCTGAGCCCCATCCAGAACCTTCAGAGGAGGGACATTCCCATTGCAAGGACAAGCTGACTAATCCAGAGCAGCCATAACAAAAGGTATTTCTTGAAAGAAAGACCAGCAGTTAAAAAAAAAAAAAAAAAAAAAGGCAGACTGGTTGTTACAAGATCAATTTAGCTGTTTGCCTTGGAGCCATCAAGACAAGAAAAATCAGCCCATCAAGGTAAACCCCCTTTTAAGACTGAAACTCAAAGGGAACACATGAGCAGGCTTGTAAGCTCACTGGTGACAGGCCTGGTCTACTTGTGAGTGAAAGTGTGGGAAATGTAGCAATGAAAACATGGGCTAAGTTTGGCCATGTTCCATTGACACCCGTCGACCTGGAGATGAAAGAGAAGGGCTGGCTGGTCTGAAGTTTAGTGAGATGTGTGAACTCCTGAGCCCATGGATACTGACCTAACCAGTGGGGGGCTAGAATTGAGAGGGAAGTGGCCAGCTGGTCTCAAGGGGGAGGAGGCTTGTTAGAACTCTCAAACTTGCAGATGGTACCCATTTGACCTAGCTGGGATGGTTTACTGATCAAAACTAGACCAGATGAAGATAAAGAAGTTTGATACGAGAAGCAAGAGTAAATTGCTACAATTTGATGAATTGGACTTGCTTATGGATGCAGTTTCTCAAAATTCCAACCAAAAGGGAAGGATTCTTCTTATCAAGGACCAAGCTTGTCCCCTCAGTACACTGTGTTTAACAGAAAGGGGCAACCTGGCAGTCAAAAATGGGGGGGCTATAAAAACAGGAAGTGGCTGGCTTACAAGACTTCTTGAGTGTGCTTAGTTTCAGAACAAGGGGGGAATAAGGTAAAATCCCCACTGAAAAGTTTTCCTCTTGTCTGGATGGGTCTGGTGAAAGGTGATAGCGGAGGGTAGGGATAGGATTTCTTTTTTGATTCAATAGTGAATAATGGTTATCATATGTAATTGCGATTATCACAATTGTAAATGTAGAAGATGTGAACCTAAAATGGGGAGAAGTTAACCTTTCATTCTAGGAACAGAGGATCCTAGGACCATCAAGAGGGAAGAGCATGAATGGAATATGGGACACTAACCAGAAAAACAGTGACAATAGAGATGGAGGCAGAGGTAAAGGCACAGAGAGATAGAGCAGCTGAGGACTCTTAGGTCCGTGGAATGAACAAGAAAGGCTGTGTGCCTGTGGGCAGTAGGCTGGCTTGCAAAATGTGCCCTCTGGATATTTTAAATGAAAATATATTTTCTGTGTGTTTTGTGTACATTAAAAAAAAAAGGGGGGGGGAATAAAGATAAGCACTGTTAACCTATGGTGCATGGAGGAGACTGTCATCATTGCAACGAAACAAAGTATGATTTATTGAATGTATAAAACTGATGATCTACCTTATAAACTATCACTCAATTCATAATAAAAGCTTTGGAAAAAAAAAGGGGGGGGGGGCTCCTTTCAATACTCAAGAAAATATGAAATTTTCCAAGTAAAAAATATAACTGGTGATATCCTTTTGTTACTGATGTTGAGATTTTTGTTACATACAAAGCATTAAGTTATTTTTATTGAGCTATAATTCAGACTATAAAATTCATCCTTTTAGATTTAGAATACAATTTAGTGGTTTTTAGTTTATTTAAAAAGCTTTGTAACTTCCACTGTTATCTGATTTTAAAACATTTTTTATCACTTTAAAAAGAAGCTCCATACCCATAGCAGAGACTTCCAACTCAACCCACCTCCACCCAGGCAACCACTAATCTACTTTCTCTATAGATTTGCCTATTCTGAACATTTCATAGAAATGGAATCACATAATACGTGGTCTTTCATGTCTGGTTTCTTTCACTTAGCATAATGTTTTCATGGTTCAATCAGATCATATATATCAGTACTTGATTTCTTATTATAACTGAATAATAAATATTTCATTGTATCAAGTATCCCATATTTTGTTTATCTATTCCTCAAGTGATAGACATTTGGGCTGTTTCTATAGTTTGGTTATTATGAATAATGCTGCTATGAACATTTGTGTACAAGTTTTGTGTGGACATATATCATTTTTCTTGGTTCTAGGAGCCAAGAAGTAGAACGGCTGGCCTACATGGTAACTCAACATTTAACATTCTGAGGAACTGCCACACTGTTTTCCAAAGAGGGTGCATTAGTCTACATTTCCATCAGCAATGTATGAAGATTCAATTTTTCTCCACATCCTCCCTAAAATGAAGTTTTAAATGGTTCAAGTCCCCATAATCATCTCTCTTCATCCAACAACTCTTAAGCTTTAGTTTCACTGTAACGATCTAGTCATGTGTCAAATAAAAACATTCATCATTTTAATCTGAACATTCAGCTTTGAAAAAATATGTTAAATAAATCAACTTTGTAGCCAGTCTTTTGACAGGTGAATAACAATCTAACTTTATCCAGGTTTCTGTCCCCTCCTTCTATTACATTCTATCATCATACACTGTTTACTTTCTGCCTAGCAATCACAACCACTAACTTTTTTCCTGTATTTGTTTTGTCTTAAAGGCCACAAGGCAGTGATAGTTTGTCTTATTTTCCACTGTATTACCAGTGTATAGTTCAATGGTACTTAACAACAACAAAGTAGCGTTAACATAGTAGGAGCTCAAAAAAATATTTGTTGAATAAATACATGAGTACATAAGTTACATAAGTATGCACTTTAATATAATTTGAATTTCTCCTTTCATGAGTAAATATTCACATCTATGCCATAAAAATTTTTTTTTTTAATATCACTGGTTTATAAGGATACAAATTCATGTTAAAAAAAAAAAAAGAAAGAAAGAAACGAAACCTAAAGTAATTATCAAGGGTGCCAAGAAACCACACAATCTGACCAGGTACAGTGGACGAATGCCAGCCATGCAAGCCAGACACACAAGCATGATCGATTTTACAGGAATGGAAAGTTCTTCTTGTTCATGTGATTGTAGTAATACAACTGTGCTTTCCGATAACCTGAACATATTAAATTTTCCATACATTTCAGAACACAAAAGTGTTCTTCTCTAATAGCTTTCATGGAAAATTATCACTCCAAACCTCCTACCCAACATCAAGTTTACCATCATATAAAAGAAGAATTATTACTAATTTTGCTTGCACAGGTATGTAACAAAATGCCTTCCAACAAAATCTTGAAATACTGATACTCCCAAGAAAGTGTGCCATAATTATCCTGTGGTTCCTGAAATCTTCCTGGTGTTCTACCACATGCCTACATGGGATGTGTACTTTATATAAGAAGTACAGTAGAACCTGTGAAAGATGGAGTTTGTGTAAGGTGGAGAACTTGTCAGAGAAGGAAAGTGCAAACATTTTCCACTAAAATGAGTGATAAAAAGTAGTAAGATGGCACCTTGTGAAACATGGAAAACTGAAGGACCCAGAAAAACAAGGCAGTCCTGCAGAATTTAGGCCCTCAAAGGTTTCATTGCATTAAGCTATGTGACTACTGATTTTTTTCATCTGAGCAAATTTTTAAATACGGTTTTTAATTAAGGAGCCTCTACTTTCTCAAAAAGTATTATTTTTGGTGATCATTCTACTTGGACTCTTTTAATTCACATTAAGGTCAAATTAACTATTGTGAGTAATCTGCAAAAATGACTAAAGGAAGGCAAAAGATTTATTTCTGTAGCCCCTCAAGAGCAAAAAAAGAGTCACACCAGGCATACTGACCTCAGTAACTATGATATTAACCTCAAAGCTACACTGCATTACCAGGCAGATGCTGTTATTTTAACCACCCATTTTGAAGAACCCAATAAAGCAAAGGAGCTCTGGTAGCACAGTGGTTACGAGTCAGGCTGCTAACCTCAAGGTCAGCAGTTCAAAACTACCAGCAGTTCCGCAGGAGAAAGATGAGGCTTTCTGCTCCCGTAAAGATTTACAGTCTCGGAAACCCTGTACAGGGTTGCTATGAATCAGAACCGACTCCCCGGCACGTAACCACCACCACCACCACCATAAAGCAAATATCTCAACTTTCTTTCCTAGGCAGGAAGGTAAAGTAGGAACAGTAAACCACCTTCTAAGAGAACTACGCTGGGCCCAGCTTACCTAGTAAAGTCACTATCTCAGCTGAATGACATCAACAATACTGGTCATCAGACTACAAATTTACATTAGCTTGCAAGAATAATACATATTAGCCTCCTGTGGTTGTTAAGTACAGTCAAGTCAGTTCTCTGTATAGGGTTTCCAAGGAGCAGCTGGTGGGTCTGACTTTGTGGTTAGCAGTCCAGAGCTTACCCGACAGCACCTATCAGGACTCCTAGATGAGCAAAAACTAAACAAGGTGGCCTTCACTTCAAATATGTTATTACATTAACAATTATTTATTCATTTAATCAAAGGAAGGTAAGAACACACTTACTCATAGCAGCTTTTCCAAAAAAATTTCTCATTATATTCCCTTTCGCTGGTGCCTTGTTGCCAGCTGAAGATGCCTAAAAGAATAGAAAACACTCATAATTTAGGCTGCTCTAAGTGACAGTCTCAAACAATCTCTTCAGGATCACAGCACACTGCTATAATGATGCGCTGTCTATGTAACCATGCCAAAATGTGTAGGTCTTACATATAAGAACAAATCTGCATCAATAATCCAGACCAGACAAAGCTTAGTTTCTCAGAATTCTTAAAAAATTATAATCCAGGAATGCTTTAAAACTTTTCTTGAGCATACTCTAAAACAATTAGTTTGAAAGACTTCTAACAGATCAGTGTCAACAATGAGGGGTGGGTGGGAGAGGATCCCAAAACATTACATCATCAGAAGTGGATCTGAATCCTAGTTTTACCACTTAAAAGCAATATGACCTCTAAGTAAATTATTTATGCCTGGGCTTCAGTTTCACTATATGTAAAATGGGGTAACATTTCCCTCATAGAACTGGGGAAAAAAAATCTAAACAAAGATCAAATTACAGGCACACAATAAACAATAAATGTTACTGTTTTCTCTGTACCCTTCCACTCCTTTCCACAGTAGAGACTTTGAAAGGACAATGGTGGCGATAGTTAACAATAATAATTCTAATCTAACTGAGTTGTTTTTAATAGTTATCTGAACGATACTTTTCGTAAGTAAATGCACTTTAGTTCAGATGACTGAATAATCAAAACAAAAATAGGAAAGGAAATGAAAAAACACAAAGAAACCTAGAACTATGTGTAAAGTAGAACACGACTGTTAGATACGTTAGGAAGCTACACAAAATCGTCAAGTCCAGAGCATGAGACGATTCAAAAGTGACAAAATGCTAATAAATTCTTGGTACTTTACAGTTTTCAAGGTCTTCTTACATGCACTATTTCAGTTTCAGTTTGGTCTCATAATGACTTTATGGGGTGGACAGGGAAGGTCTTACCATTTGAAAGGAGCATCTGAGACTAGGTGAGCATTATTGTTAAGAAAAAAAAAAAAAAAGGACTATTTCTGATGAGAATAACAAGTAACAAAGAATTCAAACTAAAGTAGAAAAATCAGAAATAAATATCAGAACCCTATATAATTAAATACAATTAAGTGAATTAAGTGTTCCGGGATACTCATACTTTGCAATGTTGTCCATAGCTTGTCATGATCCACACAATCAAAAGCCTTTGAGTAGTCAGTCAATAAAGCACAGAAATATTCTTTCTGATATTCTCTGCTTTCAGCCAGATCCATTGGACATCAGCAATGATATCCTTCGTTCCATGGTCTCTTCTGAATCTGGCTTGAACCCCTGGAAGTTCTGTCAATGAATGCTTGCAGGCATTTCTGTATTACCTTTAGCAAAACTTTATTTACTTGCATGGGATATCAGAGATGGATGATTTCTGCATTCCATTGGGTCACCTCTCTTTGGAATGGGCACAAATATGGATCTCTTCCAATCAGTTGGCCAGATAGTTGTTTTCCAAATTTCTTGGCAGAGATGAGTGAGTGCCTCCTGTGCTGCCTCACTTTCTTGAAAGATTTCAATTTTCATTCCATCAATTCCTGGTTCCTTGTTCTTTGCCAATTCCTTCAATGCACCTTGGACCTTCTCCCTAAGTATCATTGACTCTTGATCATATGCTACCTTTTGGTACAGTGACTCTGTATTCCTTCCATCTTCTCTTGATGTTTTCTGCATCATTCTATAATTTGCCCAGAGTCTTTCAATAACGAAAGTCGAGGCCTGAATTTTTTCTTCAGCTTCCCAGCTTGAGAAATGCTGAGCGTGTTCTTCTTTTTTGGGTTTCTTATTCCAGATATTTATACATTTTGTTGTAATGAAGAAAAACATGGCATCAGGATTGGAGGAAGACTTGTTAACAACCTGCGATATGCCGATGATACAACCTTGCTTGCTGAAAGTGAAGAGGACTTAAAACATTTACTGATGAAGATCAAAGAGCACAGTCTTCA